AGAGTTGCACATCCGTATAGATTAGAGCGGCACACTATCCAATATTTATACATATAAATTGGATGTTGAATTTTAAATGTGTGAATAGGAAGTAAAGTCTAAATTTGAGACTTGTTAAGTTGTATTTGAATTCATGAAGACGTGTACTAGAGATTCCAGGTTTCGAAAGATTTTGTATGGATTTTCTCCATTTTTTTTTACAGTTTTATAAAAGGAGTTGTTATTGACTTGATTGTTATCTTTAGTGTTTTTATGTTTCGCGTCATGATTAAGTTATTTTGGATTGACTTACCTATAGTGAGATCAGGGTCGTCTTAATCTCTATGCCGCTAAAGCCATTGCTTGAGGCTTCATATTTTTTTAAAAAAAAATTACTTATAAATTATTATTTAAAAAAAAAATATATATATATATATATATATATATATATATATATATATACTATGAGTGTTATGATTTCTACTAAGAAAATTGTGTATGAGATGAATACACAATCTGAATTTCATAAGAAACAATTTGATAAAAATATTGATAATGAAATCACAAAGTCCCTTGAAATTAGAGTTGAATAATATATATATATATATATATATATATATATATATATATATATATAGTAGATCAAACTATTTTTTCACTTCAAAATATATTTGAATCAATTGAAGCATATGAAAATATTTTTGGTTTCTTATATGTGGTAAATTGAGATCAGTAGGTGATGAGAATTTTTTTTTTAAAAAAACATAGTCTTAACCTTGAACTTTCTTTAACACATAATAGTTATTCTGATATTGATGGTTTAGATTTAAAAAATAAAATAAAAGTGTTCAGAGAAATAATATACAAGTAGAAGATAATGATCTAAAAGAAATACTTAATCAAATAAAAAGACTTGATTCTTTTCTCCAAATACACATATTGCTTATAGAATGATGTTAACCGTTCATGTAACTGTTGCCTCAGCCGAAAGAAGTTTTTCAAAACTAGAATTGATTAAATCTTATTTAAGATCAACAATGTCTCAAGAGAGACTGAATGTATTCGCTATATTATCAATTGAAAAGGAATTATTAAAACAAATCGATTATAAAACAATAACTAATGACTTCGCATCTAAAAAGCTAGAAAAATAGATTTCAAATAGAAGCATATATGATGAAAAAAGTAAAATATTAGGGGCCTTCTCTAAAATTTCACTTTAGGTCCCCATTCTTATTAAGTCGACCTTGAGTGAGATTGAGGTAGGTATCATCTCTTTATCGATTTCGGATCGTGACAACTATATATATAATCAACTTATTTTGTATTTCTTTGTTTCATTTATATGACTCACTTTTTTTTAGTCAATCCTAAAAAGAATGATATACTTTTATATATAGTAACCATTTAACTTTAAAATATGTATTTTATCCTCAATGAAATAATTTATAGTCACACAAATATCTATGACTTATTTTAAACCACAAATTTCAAAAATCATCACACATCGCATTAAAAAAAGAATGTTGAAAAAAAATCAAACTACTTGACATAAATTAAAAAGGATGGAGTTCCTAACTTTAAAGCCATTCAATATTTAAATGGCATAGAGACATATATTTAAATAAATTTGGCATAATCCTCTTTATAATAAAATTACATACTAATGTGGCTAACTAACATTCGGCAATTAATAGAACCCTACTTCTACGACAGATGTGGCAACAAAAGAGTGGACAACATTTAATACATTCACCAACATATGAGTTGTGGTGTAGTGAAACTGTTTTATTCTTAATCAGATGTCTCGAGTTCGAGTTTTAGAGTATGAAGAAAATTTTATTAAAAGCACCAGCTCCGAATAAGCTCTGTAATATATGGTTCAAATTTAATTGAAACTCTCATATGAAGTCCGACAATTGAATGGAAAACACCAACCAATAAAAAGCATTTAATACATTGACTAGTTTGGCCTAATCCGCCGTTTGTGAGTTGTAGACGTTTTGGGGCTAACAATTGTCTTTTTAGGGTGTGTATGAATAATAATTTAATATAGTCCTATTTTTCAGGGCTGGTTGATAAAAAAAAAAATTGTAATCATTTTCTTAAAACGATATAAGTTTTTAAAAAGTGATTTTCCTAGCAACAGTTGAGAGAAGTTTTATAAATAACAGTTTACATTAATAGCTTCCATCCCTCGATCTCAAATAGAATTTTGTCTATATATACTTTTAGGATAATATTGTTTGTTTATATATATCAAATACAAAAAAAAATAAGTAAGAAATTATTTTCCTTAGTATCTTTGTAAAATTCATTATATTTTTAAATGACTAAAATGACAAGGAAAAAAAAGTAGTATTACGTGAAGATTATATATCCTTCCAAATTTGTTACACCAAAATTTACAATAACATGAGATTTCAGCATAAATTTTTTATAATAATTTTACATCTTTTTTAATATTTCAACTTGAAAGCATCTTCCATTGTGAGTAATTATTATGTAACCTCCATTGTTGGATATGTAGCAAGAATTAATGGGAAATGGAGGGGAAGATGAAAAGAGAGGAACTTGGAAAGTTGGGAACTTGAAAAGTCCTCTTATGCTTTAGTGAAAAGGCATTTCTCCCGCATCGGTGGAGGAAAGAAAAATAGAAGAGTTTAAATATAGAAACACTCCTATTAATTGTTAAAAGGGTTGGAAAGAGGGACCCCCCTCGCGCCATCGTCGTCGCTCGCTCGGCTTTGGCTTTGGTTTTGGAAAATATATATGTGCATCAACATGGCGGTAACTCTATCTAGCAGACTGGAAATCCCAAGAGTTAGATTCAAGGAGAAAAACAAAGTTGTGATTGACGGTTCGACATTGTCAATCAACTCAATCCATTCTCATGATGAAGACAATGTTCAGGAACAAGGTTAAGACTTTAAGGCTTGTTAATGAGTTAATAAAGCTTAAAGTTTTTAATGATTTGCTAAGTTTGGCAGATTTGACCAAATAGTGTATCTACGAGATGACACGGTTAGAAATCACTTATGTGAGTGTGAAGTGTAAGCCGCTTCAAAGAGAATTTTATGTCAAAAGCCTATTCTATATACACTCATGAAACCAGGAGGTGTTCATGGCTGAAACGAACACAACCGTAAGAACCATAAACGGTAAAAGGTTAATTGTGTGACATATGGCTGTCTAGGTATACACCAAAGCTCGACGGTTCAAAGATATCGCATATACCGATTGACCGAGTATATCCGACATATGTTCACTACGGAAAGTCCAAGGGGAAACCTACTTATCCAGATGCAATTGATCCTTGCTTGTAAAGTACACACTCGTCCGTGCTTTCCTTATGTTATAACCATTCCCCATTCATGTGGGGGATTGTTGGGTATGTAGCAAGAGTTAATGGGAAATGGAGGGAAGATGAAAAGAGAGGAACTTGGTTCCGAACTTGAAGAGTTGGGAACTTGAAAAGTCCTCTTATGCTTTAGTGAAAAGGCATTTCTCCCTCATTGGTGGAGGAAAGAAAAATGGAAGAGTTTAAATATAGAAATACTCCTATTAATTGTTAAGAGGGTTGGAAAGAGGGACCCCCTTCGCGCCGTCGTCGTCGTCGCTCGCTCGGCTCGGCTCGGCTTTGGAAAATAATCGATCGAGAGATTATTTTTTGGACAAAGTTTATTTTAATTATTTAGTTATTTATTTATTTATTTAATTAATTAAATTAAATGGCCAAAATGTTTCAATTAATTAGTTAATTAACCGAAACGTTTCAATTATTCAGTTAATTGACTGACCCGACTCGGATCCGCGTGCGACCTATTTTATTTAAATTTTCCACCGTTGGAAGTGATTGTTCTGAAAGGTTGCAACTTTCAGGAACAGCCATGACCATTTGAAAGGTTGCAAACTTTCATGAATGGTCGTGTGGATTCTGAAAGTGTTGCAGCTTTTTGGAACCAGTTCCTCTTGCCTATAAATACATTGATTCTTCATATTTGTTCCTTACGAATTTATCTGATTTCTTCTTCTTCTTCTGTACAAAGTTTCTTCGTGTACTTTACTGATGTTGAGTGGTTCGCTGACACCAGAGTTTTGGGTATCAATACACTGGTGATTGAGATCATTCTATCCTGGGAGGACATATTCCAAATCAAACCTCGGATACTAGAGGGGAATAATTTCCTTAAGGGGATATTGTGCATTCAGTGGACTTGATCTTTTCCGTTCTATCTTTTTCCAGATTCTGCTATGTTTTACAGATTTTAGTTGTTCTGAATTAATTTCTATTCTTCTGTTTCTACTGGTTCATTAAAACTTTGGTTACTTCGTGTTTCTGCAAAGTTTATTGGAATCAGTAATTCTGTTTTAAACACAGATTGGCAACACTCCATTTCTTTCATATTTTGTATTACCACACTATATTGTAATACCCAAAACGACAAGTTTACTCCTACTTAATGAGTTGAACATGTTTTTCTTTTATCGTGTGTACCATCATAGTATCTTATTTTATTCTAGACAAAAATCAAAAAATATTTTTAAACTATGTGAAATTGAATTAAAATATCCTCAATATTCCTTTACTATCAAACAAATTAATAATATATGTGTGTGTGAGTCTAGCATTATACTATCAATCTAGATATTCCGTAATTGATGATCGTGGTGTCCGGGTCAGTTTTCGTGCACCTCGACTAATTTTATGAGATACCTGTCACCTTCCATCAACAATAGGTACCATATAATTTTGTCCACCAAGGCTATAATAGATGGGAAGAACCACATAATATTTTTTTCTTTTCGCTGAGTTTTGAACCTAAGACCTCAATAAGAACCCACTAGATTTAGGATTGGTGGTTTTTGGTTTATTTTTATATTTATTTTTATCTTATTTTATTTTATTCAAACCCCATAAAAATGTTTTAAAATTATTTTGACTTGCAATAATTCTTCATCTTCTTATAAATATGTCCTTCTATTTCCTCACTTTTGTGAAATGTTGTACGAGAAAAACCATGCTTCCTAGTGATTTATTAGCAGAATTCCTCTCAAGACTCCCTGCCAAAAATGTATGTCAATTAAAATGTGTTTCAAAACATTGGCTCAACACAATTTCCACACCTCACTTCAAGAAATTCCATTACAAAAAATCCATCAAAAATCCTCATCTAGTTGTAATTGATGAATACATCAAATGCAACAACTATTTTACCAAAACTCTTACAATATCCACAATTAATCACCTTAAACAAAATCCAACACCAAATCTTGACAAGAAATTCACTTTAGACATTTTGTTTCAACACAACACCAACTTCTCTTTTAACCAATGTTTCATTTGTTACAACATTTGGTTATACAATCTAACCACTCAACAAAATCAAGAATTGCCTCATGTTACAACCCCCATGATTGGTTTTGATTTAGGGTACATCCCATGTTCTAATGAATTCAAGATTGTTCATGTTTTTGGGAAAAAAGATGACAAAGTTGGATATGAGATTATAACTCTTAAAGATGACAACTTTGTCCCAACTTCTTGGAGGATTCTTGAAAATCATAAGAATTTATACACAAGAAAATTTTCATCTTTGAGTGTGAATGGCTCTATTTATTGGTTGGTTAATGATATGCAAGACAATAAAAAAGGAATTGTGTGTCTAGACTTGGAAAATGAGGAATTTAGGAAAATTTCTTGTCCAAAAGAAAGTTCAATTACTCAAAAAAGTCTAATGATATATCAAGCACAACAACTAGTGGAAGTAAAGGAGTTATTTGGAGTAGCACAATTTTCAGCAAATTTTTCAAATGTAAATATTTTTGTGCTTAGACAAGGCAACAAGAAGAAGAATAAAGAGGAGTTTTGGGTAAAGGAGTTTAGTGTCAACTTGTTTCATATGGGGCATTGGTTTAAAATTGTGGGGTTTGTGCCTTTTGAAGAAGATAATACTAATGGAGAGTTAATATTTGTTCCAAATAATGGGAGACTCTTATTATACAATACCAAAAAAGGAAGCTTTAAAAATGTGGGAGAGTACAATTTATTGAGATATAAGCATCAGAGTTTGTATTTTGATAGTCTCTTTTGTTTAGGTAGTAGTGGATGACTTGTAGGAATAAAAGAGAAAGTTTGTTCATTTTATGTCAGGCGTTGAAAACTACTAAGCTGGAGTATGATGCGAAAAAAGGAAATTTTGAATGGAAGGTGAAATGTGTAGTAATAACACTTTAGTTATCAATATTTATATATATATATATATATATATATATTAATAAGAAAGAAAGTATGTATGTGTACAATGTAAGTAGTTGTTGGCATTTTTATTTTTAAGTGTTTTTAAATTCTTATTCTCATATCTAGTTTCTTTCTATTTTGATTTGATGTTAGTAAATGATGTAGTATTTACTATTTAGCTCTTTATAGGCTTCCTAGTTTTATATTGTGCATTAGCAAGGAATGATAAGGTCAAACCAATGTATTAATTTAACAAAGAAAGTAAATCATTTAAAACAGTTGATAATCATAAAATAAATCTCATAAGTTAATAGTATAGAAGGTACATAACCTCACCCCCACCCCCTTCCCCTCCCCCAGGGGGGAATTTAAGGGTAAAAAATAGGTCACTCGAATCCATGGTCATCCGACAAAACTCGATATATTATTTGTATAATTTTTAAAATATAGTAAATATTAAATAAAGGAACCCATGATCACAAATGATTGGATGACTCATTGGTTCAGGGTTGGTTTTTGATTGTGAGGTTGACGGTTTGATTCCTAGATGACCTCTTTTAAAAATCAATTAAAAAGCACCATTGATTGTTATTTTTTCGAAAAAATTTCATTTTCTTTTTATAAAGTGTACTTTTAAAAATTTTTAAGATGCGAAAATGCATATATTTTTCTTATAAATGGTTTCTTTTAATAATTCTTTTTCAATCAGTAATTCATATAAAAAATGCATTTAATTTGTCTTGTGACATAATACTTGAGATTTATCAAACTTCTAATAATTTTTTCCTTTAATATTATTTTTTCCTGAAAATCGTATTTAATAGTTTTCTTATGAAAAACCTATAATCTATTATTGCTAAATTAAATGAGGCCCTCAAATTTGTGAGCCTAAAAAGATTGCCTTTTTCTTAAAGGGCAGAATCGCCCCTGACAATGGTGCACCCGTCTTTTTGAAATCCTGAATTCACCTCTACCCTCCCCTCTCGAGAACTCGTGATTTGAGTCAAGAACATCTATTGAATGAAACATATATAAGTCTTGAAATACAAAATAAATCGTCTTAAAAAATATAATAGTAAACAAAAATATAGATGAAGTTAACAGTGTTGCGAACTATCCAAGCAACTCATCCAATACTCCAAATCAAGATTGAGATCCGCTCATGAGAGTTGTTGTCACGAGAATCGATATGTACACCAAAATATACAACAAATAGTATGAGTACATAAACAACGTATACCCAACAAAAGATTTTATTTTCAGCTCACTCATTTTCACATACTTTTTTTTAAGCCATATAAATAAAAATAATATTTTAAAAATAAAAGTAACATTTGATGTCAATCCCAGGTCACAAGTATGAGAAGCAACAACTACAACTCATGTCCCCAACACGCTTGTGTTTGTTATGGTACACAAATAACTATTTCGAAGTTAATGTATACATATGCACGTGCACCCTTTTGTCAACCTTTGACCATATCACTTGACACGTGATATTAGTTTGGACCTTAAGATAAAATAAATTTGAATTTCATAAAATCAACTTATATAGTCGTACAATCCAAATTAATTATTTAACTCAAAATTTATATGGATTAGACCCAATAATAATTTTGATGTGTCTACAATATCCGATTTATCCAGATATATAGACTTGTCAAATATGAAATTACATGGTTTGAAACACATGAAGTCAACCTAGCCACAGGTGGATTTAGGATCCAGCGAGGGTGTTCACTCGAACTCTTTTTATCAAATTTACTAAATCCGACAACTTTTACGTTTCATTTAATCCTAAAAGGAGCTTGTGTATTATTTGTTTTCTTCACCCACAACTCTAGGTCTCTATTGTTGTTGGTGACAATGAATAGCACAAGGTCGTTGTAATTGGTAGGGTTTACAAATTGTATTGAATAAGATGTATTAATAATATTGAATTTAGTTATGTTGAAATTATTTTTGTTTAATATTTAATTTGATATATTAAATGACAATGCATTGTATAGTTTCTAAAATAATTATTTATTTATAAAAGAATATCTTCCATTATATTTTTTTGCTTTGTACACTTTCTTTACAATTAGCTGCATATAGTTGATTTTTATATTTTTGCAGAACTGAGAACTGATGTCATCAAGATATTTGTATATTTTTATAGGGGAGCAAATATATAATTCAGTGAAGATGACCATCGAACCTAATTCGTAACATTCACACCCTCCTATCAAAATAAATATTATTATGACAGACAACACTTCATTATCTACTAACCTTCTATCCTAATTCGTAACATCCACACCTTCCTATCCAATATCATATCTTCGGTAAGATAAAAATGCGCCGTATCCTGTCTAATCACCTCCCCCAATATTAGGTTTTCAACCTACCTCTACTTCTTTTCATACACACTATATCCAACCCCTCACATTGGAGTATTTACGTTTCTCCTCTTTACGTACCCAAATTATCTCAACTTTGCCTTCCTTCAATGTAATAAATAAATAACCTTTTAGAAAAGATATCAGATATAAGCTTCTCATTAATAATAAAACCAATAATAGTAATTGATGCAACAATGGAAAATAATATAAATCAATTTTGTCCTGGTCGAAAAGAGTGAATATGATGACAACATTTGCACATACTTATCAATGTGTTAATTGTCAAGTGGGCAACATGTTGTTCATCAGTTTGTGTGTATCATACTTAAAAGATGTTACAAAATTACAAATGGCATAAATAACATGATGGAAGGAGAATCCAAAGAAGTTGTCCCAGCTGGTGCACTACTCATGTCTCATGGCACCTCTATCTTAATTTGATTTATTTTTATAACAATGTTTATTTATGCGATATACAATACTATAGTCTATACATTTACTATATAATATATGAATCTTGCCAAAAAAGTTTACAATAATGTATAAATAGTTATATTTACTTTTAAACTGATATATAATATTATACAACAGATTGTATGTCATTTTTCACGAATTTCATTCGCAATAAGGTTTAAAACCATCACCAAATGGATCAAAATCTTCATCAATGGAATAACTTCAAATTTTAATCATAACTTTAAAATTATTATATCTCCAACAAACCCCAATCATCAATTTATCATAAAATTTAACAAATCACAAAATTTATTTATGAGTTTTCAACAACAATAAAGCTTTTAGTTTTCACTTTAATTCGCCCAAATCACAAAAATTTCAACAAATCACTCATTTTTTTTAATTATAAATTGGACCAAGTGATATAAGTTAAAAATCTCAATTTCTTTGAGAAGAAGAAATTGGAGGACTAAAAAAACAATATAATGTGAAGAATGATGATTCTCTCACATGCAATCTAGTTGATGTGAAGAATCACTAGAAGATAAGAAAATTAAATTGATGTGAATAATCACTAGAAGATAAGAAAATTAAAGGAGAAAAGTGGACTAAGATTATCTTTTGATTTTTCATTTCATTTTTTGTATCTATATTAAAGTCCGATCGATTTGATTTTTCATTTCATTTTTGGTACCTATATTGAAGTCCGATCGATTAATTTAAATTTATATCGCAATAAAATATTATCTATCAAATATTTTTTCACACCAAAACTCAAACCTAAAATATTTAATTTAGAAAGATGCAGCCTCATATGATGCGGTACGATATTAATGGTGGAGGATTAGAATTAGGTCTCTCACTTCGTATCTTGTTGACATTGACCCCCCTTCCAGAAAATAAATACAAAATTCTTTTGTCGTGATTTACGTGAAATTATTACTACTATTTTAGGTTTAAAAATATTTGAATTAATTAGTTATATTGAATTGTAGTATTGTTAAAATGTAAATTTGATTTAAAATATAAAGAATTCTTTACCTAAATTTGTAATGAAAATGTATTTTAATCTTTGTATTTCTAATCCTTTTACGTGAATTAAAATAGAGTGAATAGTAATTTCAATTGAATATATTTTCTAATATAAAATAACAATATGGATGAAGATATTTATAAGTAGAGATGGGGTTAAGATTTTGAAATAATGATTTTTAAATTTCTAGAAAAGAAAGTTATTGAGTTGTTAATAAATTTGGCTAATGTTTTTCATCTAACTTCATACAAATTATTCAATTTATTATGAAAATGACTTTTGTTGCCTCACATTTTATGTATGAATTGTCAACTAGGACTAATTTATTTCCTTAATTGATAAGTCATACATTTAATTTTAACATCTGGCAATACTACTCCAAAGAAAATGACAACATGAATCTGACAGTTGAAAGCAATTTCTTTTTCTTTCCTTGTCAAAGCACAACACCAAACCGATTCATTGATAAAGGTTGATCAGCCATGTGGTGTTGTTTTCGTAACGAGAGATTTCACGTTTGAACTTTAGGTATAGAAAAATATTTGATTTTCTCTAAATAAGGTTTTATGCTGTGTGAATTTAAAATAGTCGAACTTCAATACAAATAAAATCAAAATCAAAAATTAAGATTGACCAAATTATTTTCTATTATCATGAAAAGATTATATTGGTATTTTAAGTATTTTTTTATTTTTAATTAGCAATTTCATATTTAAATTCAAAGGGGATGCAGAGCTTTACCTCACAGCTGAATAGTACTAATTGTTGTTTATTATTTCTTTCTTCTAAGCGTTAATTTACTGTATTTGAGTAGATGATTTTCGAAAATATCTTTTTTATTTCTACGAAATAGTGGTAAGGTATATAGATACTTTATCATGCTTAAATTTCACATCATTAATAAGTTGTTATGATAATCTTTATGTTACCACACAACTTACCTATTCAAAATGTGCTATTTTTAAAATGAAATTTTTCGATTTGAATCTGAATTAGTTG